GTGAATGCACTAACTGTCATCACAGAGCCTTCATCCAGTAACTGACGGAAGCAGATGCAGAGATCCACAACCAAACTAGGCCGAGCTCCAGGAGTTCAGTCAAAGAGAGAGAAGAAATATATGAGTGGGCATGGGGGGGTGTTAAGATCATGATGATGAGCTCTACAGAGACAACTGAATAAGTTAACCAAGCTCGTCGGAACTCATGAACTTGAGGACTTAGTCTTTTAAAACATAGTCTCTTTTGATAATTTTTGTTTTACCTGTGTTTGTTAGTGCCATCAAAAACAAATTTGTGATTCTCTGTCTTTTTGAAAATAAATTATTTAAAAGATTTTCTTGTTACATGAAACACTGAAATTAATAATTTAAATTAGTCATTTAGAAATTAAACTAAAACATACTTATAATTAAAATAGTTTCTATTAGAATCTACTTTTGGCCAATAATTATATATTTACTGATTTAAAAGTTTCCAGGACTGCTGGAGAGATAGATGGCTCGGCAATTAAGAACACATACTGGTTTTGCAGAGGACCCAAGTTCAGTTCTCTGCATCCATGACAAATCCACAAATGACCTGTATCTTCAGCTTCATAGGATCTAGTGCCCTCTACAGGTCTCTATAGGCACTACACAAATGTTTCTGCACTAGTGAGCATGAGCACATGCAGGCGGGTGCACACACACACACACACACACACACACACACACACACACACACACCACACCACACACTACACACATACACACACACACACACACACACACACACACACACACACACACACACCACACCACACACACACACACACACACACACACACCACACACACCACGGGAATAAAAATAAAACTCTTTTTAAAAAGCACTTTAAAAATCCCAATATTAGTGAGGTGTTTTCCTTTTTGAGCACTGACTAGGAATTTGCAGTAGATTACAAACTTTTCGATCCCTGTGGGCTTATTTCTCCTGAAGAAATAATTTCCTTATCACTGATTAGCTAACCATTCATCCCATCATCCTCTTATCCTCATAATTATATGACTAATAGTTGAGTTTGAAAATGACCTTGAACATTTTTTTCAGTATCATTGTGTGGCTTTATTTTAAAATATAAATAACAAAATAAAAACATTTTCCACAAAATATCTGATATCTAATTAATGCTTTCCAGAGTAACTGTGGTATCAAACATTTCCTCTAATTATATTCATTAGTGGCTTCTCTCGGACAAGTTTTAATTAAGTTGTACAATGAAGATCAATACTCATTGTGTATTCATTGTAATTTACAACACGCATATATACTGTTCAGAACAATTTAATTACTGTAATTGTAGCAAAGAAGACACTTAGAAATTACACTCTATTACTGCCAATCCCCTCTTTAATAAGTTTGTTAAAGTCACTGGGAAATTAACTTTTGAAAATTCACATTTTTGTGCACCCTGTCTACATCACAGATGTTTTTAATACTGCTTTAAAATTTTTGTATATATATGGAAATTGAGACATTAATGAATTATTGAAAGTATTTTTCATATATCCCATCATAAATATTGAGAAACTATTAAAGTGTAAGAATGTCCATCATAATTACACCGATTTTGTAAAAAAAAATAATCTAGGGGAATTGCTTGGGTAGACTACCCTGTTTTATTTATGTAAATTAGACTCCTATCATTTTATTAACTTTACATTCTTGTTTTTTTTTTTTTTTTTTTTTTTTTGGTTTTTCAAGACAGGGTTTCTCTGTGTAGCTTTGCGCCTTTCCTGGAACTCACTTGGTAGTCCAGGCTGGCCTCGAACACACAGAGATCCACCTGCCTCTGCCTCCCGAGTGCTGGGATTAAAGGCGTGTGCCACCACCGCCCAGCTAACTTTACATTCTTACATAAGAGTTTATTTTGTTTTGTTTTATAAGGAATGGTTCCAAATATGGTAATTTCTGTTAAGGGATATTATCCTTGTAACACACTATAAAACAAATGTAAAGTAGAAATTTTTGGTAATATCAATAGTTAAATGTGAGAGCATGTCAACCTTGGAACTACTGAAATTTGGAAGTCATAATTTTTTTCATGTGGATCTTTGATCTTTGTGGTTTTGGGGGGATTGGTTAGCCATATGCTTGGCCTCAACTCCAAGTGACTATTACTGAATGCTGATTCAGACACACCCTCTGGATCAGTTCACTGACAGGATGGTTCATTCATAAGTTATACAATTATGGAAAATTTGAGCTTAGCCTGGTGTATACACTTGAGTTGTTGGTTGTGGGTTTTTTCAAGGTTTAATTTATTGTTTTTCTGCATATGTATATGTGTGAGTTTCTTTATATCTGCGTGTGTGTGTGTGTGTGTGTGTGTGTGTGTGTGTGTGTGTGTGTGTGTGTAACTATGTACATGTGAAGACAGGTCCTTGCAAAGGCCAGAAGAAGATATCATCCAATGATCGGGAGTTACAGGCTTATATGATCTGTCTGAGATAGGTGATGGAAACAAAATCCACGTATGTTGTGTTCTTTTAAGGGGGCAAAACAACTCAGTATAAGTGATATGAACTGGGTGACATCAGGACACTGAGTAATAATAACAGCACACTCATATTTAGGAAGGGGAAGGTCAGTGATGATTTTAGAGAGTTTAGGAAAGTGAGATGCATGGATTTCTCATCAAATACACTATCTGTCTATTTAATAACTGCATTTTCACAAAATAACATTTAGTAATATTACAGATTCCTACTTTATTGTCATATATATTTGTAGTATGTTCAAATATCAAATGACTACCCATTCAAAATTGGATTAACAGCTAAACTAGTGGCATAAGGCCATTAGTTCACTTCTACATACATTTTGAACACCAAAATAGCAACATAGATAAATGTAGACTAATGTAAGTTCAGGTGGCAGTAACCAAAGCTTGAAGACATTGGAGGCCTGTCGTTAATAATGAATGTCTAAAGCTACAAATCAGGCAGAGGCCAGTGAGGACTACTGCTTCTGCTAGCCAGGCTAGTTATCAGTTCCTAGAGTTCCAATTCCTAGAGTCCAGACATCGGTTTGGACTACAGGTTGAAGCTCATCTGACTACAACACAGTAACAAGCTCAGTTTGATTATATGAGCTAGTTTATCTCAACTACACAGGCATACTGTTGCTCAATATCAAAGATAAATCAAAAGAATCATTAAAATGAATAAACATAACAATTAAAGTGTTCACTCCCCTGGCATTTAGTCATGTCTAGACAGAGCCCTTGTGTCCCAGATACACCGAAAGGAGGACAAGGACATTTATGTTTAATGTAGCCTTATTCCCACGGAGACAAGAAAAGCCAATAATAAAGTAAAATGAAGAGCATGGCTCTTACTGAAGAGGTCGATGTAATGTCATGTCTGGCAGGACTTATGTGGTCAGGGTAGAGGACAACTGTGATTTGTTGGTTTTGTTTTTCTTCTTTAAAGTATTGTTTTTCAGTAAAGGCATCATTCCTTGAAGGAACTGACAGTTCTACAAACAACGTGAGGCCAATTTGATTAACGTAGGTTAAAAAACGATAAAAAGAACATATGACTTGCATTCATGTTTATAGAACTATGAAAATAGACAAAAATTGTATTCAGAAAAAGCGATGAGTATGTGATAATTAGCAAGTCCTGTGCTTTCTACAATTTGGAGATTGATTTACTTTACTTTGCTAATACTATTATATGTTTTAAATTGATTTATAGGGTACACACTTTCATGCGTATATTTTCTCATTGTATTTTACTTGTGTGAAATAAATCTAACTTGAATTTTAATTGTACACAAGTTTTAGAAAATATCCAAAGTTCCAGTTTAGGTTGTGATTTTCTCTATCTCATAGTGATTTTCTCTTACTTTCTTAAATATAGCCAGATAACCCATTTCCTTGCCTATCAACTCTTGTTCATTTTGTACTTCAAGCTTACACGTAAAGATATAATAATACCTTTAAAATTGATGGTATCAATTTTACCAAAATACTTACTCCTGTGGTATAAGTTGTTTCAGTAAATGATACATATGGCCTCTCTTCTGGTCAATACATGGAGCTCCACTAAAATGGTTCAGTTACATTGTAGCTTAGACAAATTCATGAGAAATAGATGTTAAACAAACAAACAAACAAACAAACAAAACCCCCAAATATCCATACCTGAATTATCTAACTGAACCGTACCCTTTAAATTGATTTAATTTCCCAAGGACAGAATATAAGCACAATGTGTATGAAAACATGAGTCAGTGTGAGTATGTGCACTTATCTGTTGGTTCCTATATAATGATGAAATTCATATCAATCCCGGGATTTCTAAATATATTAGGACTTCAAGACATCAAGTATCTAAAAATTCAGCTTGAGGCACATTTTAAGCTCTGGTTGTATCTAAGTAGAAGACATCTGAGGATACACAGGACTCTTAAATATAGAAACAAGCTTTGAATTGCTAGACTTTTCATCTTGAGTAAAAAGATACAGATTTTCTTTTATAATTAAAATTTTCCCTTGTATTGAAGGTTTTGGTTATTATCATGAAAATGTTAAATATGCTTATGAATTGTTTATTGTCACTTAATGTAATTATTTGCCAATTCATGACAGGTTTTTGAGGAAAAACAAAACATGCTTAGCTGTAATTTTTAAGGCTGAACATTAATGTCAACTCTAAGTGTTTTTTTGTTTTGTTTTGTTTTGTTTTTCAAGACTGTCTATTTCATCTTATTTGTGCTTTTTCTCTTATGTAATAGCAACAGTATTTAGGGTTATGCATAGTTTAAATGCTTTTGTTACAAGTCCCCATTCATGTATTACAAACCGATTGTTCTCTTTCCTGATAATGATACTTTGTAACTCTTGTAGTCATCATAATGAAAGCCTAATCTAATGTTGGTAATGTACACAGTGTGCATCACGATAGGAGTGAAATAGGGATGCACTCACTTTGATTTTGTTTTTCTTCTTACAGTGAATCTATTGGATTCACGCACTGTCATGGGGGACCTTGGATGGATTGCTTTTCCAAAAAATGGGGTAAGTTTTTATGAAAGTTTCCATAAAACATCAGCTAAGTACATAGCCTTCAGGCTACAGAAGTAAGACTGAAATTTAATTGGGCATATTTGTCAAGAACGGACAGCTATTTCTTTCAGGTGGGGAATGGAGGGATTACACACTAGTCCTGACAAAATATTCACCACCAGGGAAGGGTTTTCAGTGACTAGATAACAGACACATGCTTTCCTCTCAGCATTTCTTCTCCTAAGAATGTTTTACTTCAGCACCTAGGAAACGCGCTGCTTTGCCACTATCTCAGTTAAGTTGCTGAGGAAACGTAACTGTCATCTGTGTGCAATGTTCATGTACAGAGATCAACTCACCTTCCATTTCATTTTTAGAAAAAGTTGAAAGCATTCCAAGAAATTCCGTTAAGTTCCATTCAGGCTAAAAACACATCAGGTCATCAGTCCTATCACCATTTGCAAATTTCTTCTCAAATTATGGATTTTTCTTCACTGAAAACTTTTCAGAAAAGAATATTTCACCAGAATATTTCATGATTAATATTTCATTAAATTATTTTTTGAAATATATTGAAGCAACATCTTTGAGAAGAAAATTTGATGTCATTTTAAGACTATTTACATACATAACAGAATTTATATTGCTAACAATAGTAACACAGCAGTACAATTAGAAGAGCAGCACATGATCAGCTTTCCAAATAAATTCACAAGGATTTTATCAGAAAATGAAAGCCCAAATTAAGTATTGTTCTCTAATGTCATCATGTGACTCTGAGGAACTGATTTTTTCACAATTTTATAATAAAACAATTTTAATTTTTTGAGATTTTTATTAACCTGCAACATTAATAGTTTGACGCCGACGGTGGTGGCGCATGCCTTTAATCCCAGCACTTGGGAGGCAGAGGCAGGCGGATCTCTGTGAGTTCGAGGCCTGCCTGGGCTACCAAGTGAGTTCCAGGAAAGGAGCAAAGCTACACAGAGAAACCTGTCTCGAAAAAACCAAAAAAAAAAAAAAAAAAAAATTAATAGTTTGACATCTTAAATTTTTCAAGTTAACGTTATACTCAATTATCTTGACAAAATTACCAAATTTTTCAGTCATTTGTTTTGAAATTATACTTCGGGTGTTTAAATCTATCGATCAATCTTACTTTAATGTTCATATAAGCAATTAATTTAACATGTAACATATATGTATATATAATTTCTCATGAGATGGAAACAACTTTAAGCAAGAGAATATTCTAACAAGTCTTGTGCTAGCAACCTAATTATCCAAAATATTTCAATGATTATCTTCCAGTTAATGAAAAAAATAATTGAGTTAATTAGTCTTTGTGCTGGTGAATGTTGGTCATCCTGACACATACTAGAGTCATTTGAGAAGAGGGAACTACAGTTGCGGAAGAACCTCTCTCAGGACCGACCTGTGGGGATGTCAGTGGAGCATTTGTCTTGTTTGTTGATTTATTTGGGAGGCCGCAGCCCACTGTGGGCTGTGTCTCCTGCCTGCAGGTGGCTTTACATGGTGGAAGTAACCAAGCTGTGCAATCCATGTAAAGTAAGGACCTTCATCCACGACTCCTGCCTCCAGTCTTGTTTGGGTTCCTGCCCTTTGAAGGGAGTATGATAAACTCCAAAATAAACTCTTTCCTTCCCATGTTGCTTCAGGTCATGGTGTTTATCTCAGCAACAGGAGGCAAACTAAGACAATCCTTTTCTGAGAAAGTTATTTTAAGAAAAATAACACAGGTTATATTAATTTTTAAAGTTCCTAATTGTGTGCTAAGCTCCTTATTTCATCTAGCTTTAGACAGTTCAGCAACTTCAAATTAATTTGGTATTTCAAATTACAGTTACATTTACAAATACAACGTAAAAACCAATATTGTTCAGTTGTTAGAATCTGTAAGTAACAAGAACAGATGTGTGAGACAGATAAAATGACTGTTAATATAATGAAATCAATTGTGCCATATTAACCTTCATATATTCCATTTCATCCCTTTTGCTCTCATAAATTTCTCTGAAAGTTGTTATCCCTGAGTGTGTTTATTATAGTGTGGTATTTTATACATACCCAAAATGTTTTATTTAATAAGTATATCAAGTGTCCTTTTTGAAAATATGATGAAAATGCATTTTAAAATTACACTTTTACAGCCCTTAGAAAATATTTTATTCCCTTTGGTTTTAGTTTTGTCCTTTGATACTGTTTTAATTGAAAACTTATTAAAACAGAGTGTTGAAAGTATGTGTCAGGGTGAGTATAAATATGATGTTGTAGTTACTCTTATGACTGGGAACTTTGGGAGGCATGGCTTAATTCCTTGTACCATTTCTTTATAGAAAACAAAGGTCTTTGTATAAGGACCCGGCTCTTACCAACATTCTAACAATATCATGCTACTTTGGTTTTTTTTAATTATCATTTTTGTAAAAATACTAGTTTCCTTTCTAGATTGTAAAATCATATTCATTATTTTAGGATGACTGTATGTTTTTATGTATCATATTTTCTTTGACATAGATAGCCTGTAACGATGTATCCTGAAGACAGAGAAATTAATTTAGAGAAATTTAGAGATTTTTGATGTTGTTTTACAAGTGAAAGAATGTGTGTGAAATCTTTAATTGCATTTTTCTTGTTAGGTGCCATTTATATGCAAGATAATAGAAGTGATATTATTATTTTAAATAAAATGAGTGTTCACAGTCTAAATGAGTATAGGAAGAAATGTACAAGTTTTTAATAGAATCTAAATAGATTGTGGAATTTATATTTATATATGCAATATCATACTGTGTGAAATATAAGTCATTGGAATGATGTCAACAAAAAGCCATAGAATATGGGCCTCTAATGATTTCCTCCTCCATGAAAGTCCTAGCAATATTGGAAAAGATTGTCAGAATCAATGTTTTCAAGGTGTAGAAATGAACCACCGTCTGACAGTAACCTAGAGAACATTTATTTACAAAAACAAAACAAAACAAAAACTAATTTTTGTAAGAAGAGAAAGATTTGAACCTTATATTGCTTCCACCTGACCATCTCCAAGGAAGTCCTAAAAAACCTGAATCCAGCCAGCATCATGAGAAGCACCCGCTGAGTAGGCACCTGAAAAGTAGAGAAAGACAGGAAATTGCTCATGTTCCCAACTGCAAAGAACTGTCATTATTTGATGTCTCTTGAGTTCCTAGAAGACTGACTTAGATTTGAATTTGAACACTTTTAGTCAAATTATTTTTCAGCTTGGCATGTGTTAGAAAGATAGGCAAATATCTAGTAATTCATAGGTAAAGTTTGGTATAAATATTAAAGTAGCCATTCAGTAAAATTGTTGGAAACTAAAACTTCTGGAATGCTGAAGAGGAGGTTTGTGCACTTGTCAAGGATCTAGGTATGCTCCATTAGGACCTGAGGATGATTTAAGTATCGCCTGTGAATGGCCTTGAGATCCTGTACAAAAAGAAAACAAACACAGTTACTTGGATAAATGTTGAATGAATGTGTCAACAGGCACAGGCAGTCACTTGGTGAATATAAGACCATTTTGGTCTTATATATAAATAATATATAAAAAATATAAATTAAGAACATTTAATGTTTGGAGAAAAATTTTTCAGGTAATGTCTAGTATTCAACTAAACAATCATATTGATGGCCACATATATGGAAATATACTGTTCTCAGAATTAGTTTAGAATGGTGTTTTTACAAATAAATCACAAATCCTGGAATGTGGGGACAATCTAAGTTGCCAAATGTCAACAGTGTGTTTAAAGTGCCTAGTTTTCAGCACAAAACTAAAGAGAGTACAAAGAACAACATGCATTATAAAAAGTGAAGACAATAGTAATTGATAGAAATTATTTTGAGAATTCCCAGGATTAAAAAAGTAGGTGAAGACTGTAACTTTAACAAGCAGTTTAAAACAGATAGAAAGACTAAAAGAAAATGTGAAACTACAAGATTAAAGAAACTACAATGTAGATGTAAACCAACCGTCTTATTAAATAAGAAACACAGAGCCGATTCAGAGAAGAAAGCCAAGAGGTCAGAGCTAAGAGCCTCACCCTTCCTGCTTCAGCGATTCTCTTCAGTCAAGAGAGCTCTCCGAAAAAGACCTACTTCCTGTGTGTATGTCTTTATATAGTCTAGCTGTTCTGCCTTCTCATTGGTTGTAAACCCAAACATGTGACTGCCTCGTCACTGCCTGTATGTACCGCCCTCCAGGTCCTTAAAGGCGTGTTCCACCGCCGCCATGCACTTGCTATGGCTCTAATAGCTCTGACCCCCAGGCAACTTTATTTATTAACATACAATTAAAATCACATTTCAGTACAAGTAAAATACCACCACATTTCCCCTTTTCTATTTTAATAAAAATGGAAAAAAAAGAAAAAGGTTATAACTAACAAAAGAAAAACTATATACAAAAGTACAATGACTATATACAATATATACTGACTATATACAATATATACAAGTAATAAATGTCTAAACAATGTCTAGTCCATTTGTATTTGACAAATTCAGAGAAAATAATTTCGGCGGGACAAGGAGGAGAATAGAGCTGGGAAGGAAGACTGAGTCAGAGAGACACTGCCAGCCGCCATGATGAGAAACAGCATGTGAAGATGCCGGTAAGCCACGAGCCATGTGGCAAGGTATAGATTAATGGAAATGGATTAATTTAAGCTGTAAGAACAGTTAGCAAGAAGCCTGCTACGGCCATACAGTTTGTAAGCAATATAAGTCTCTGTGTTTACTTGGTTGGGTCTGAGTGGCTGTGGGACTGGCGGGTGATAGAGATTTGTCCTGACTGTGGGCCAGGCAGGAAAACTCCATCTACACTACAATTATTGTATCTCATCTAATTAAAAATGCCAATAAAGATTGATTATCTTATAAAGAAGCAGATTATATAGAAGTATAAATGTAAAGCCTGAAATAAAGAATCCACCACAGATGTCTAAGAGCAGGTGTGGTCAGGAAGA